AGGCAGCCGATCAATGACTCATGATTGATGTTTCTCTCTCTCCCTCTCCCTTCCTCCCTCTGAAATCAATAAAGACATATTTTTTAAAAAGCAGGACTTTTTATTTTTTTTAACTTGATATCAGTGGAATGAAATAGCATGTCCTCTTCTGTGTCTGGCTTGCTTAACATCAATTGTGAGTGTCATCCAGAGTGTTCTTTCTTTTCATTGCTGTATAAAAGAACATCTAGTTACCTATTCTACGGACAACTGGCATTTGGATTGATGTCTGCTTGGGGCTAAAAGGAACATTTGTTGAAGTGCTTTTTGGTGCACTTATGAACTGTACTATACCTTCAGTGCCATCTCTTGCCTTCCCAGAGTGCTCCTGTGGCTACTTCAATTCCCACCTCCCCGCACACTCAACATAACCTCCATTTGGCCACCTTCAGTGCACCTCTGAACCACAGACTGGCCACTCCCTCCCTTCTGGTTCCTTCCCTAGTACCACCTTCATGGGCTCCTTTGCTACATCCAGGCTTCAATGCTGGTGCTCCCCAGATCCAGTCTCCTAAAACAAAAACACTCTTTGCACACCCTCAGTGGACATTACCATCCTCAAGCTAATAAATCCCAAACCTTTCTCCTGAGTGCCAACCCCAGACAGTACACAAGCACAAAACTGAGTTCATCAAATTCCTCCAAGGACTGTGTGGCCTATTGTTGAAATAATGGTGCCATCCACCCAGGTGCTTAAGTCATTACCTAGGAATCATTCGAGATTGCTCCCTCTTCCTCCCCCACACCTCAGCCCTCAGCTACTGAAATCAGGTGAGCTCTGCCTCCCTGGACTCCCAGGCCCTCCCTTCCTCCTATTGCTTAACACACACACACACACACACACCCTTGGCTCTGGCTGTCTCACCCAGGACTGTTTGGATGGCCCTCTCCCTCCTCAGCCTTCCCCACTCCCCTACTATTCACCCTTAGGCAGCTCTGATCTTGTTATCTCCCACTCTCCACACCCTCCACTATCTCCAGGCTGAGGCCAAACCCTTCAGGGAGTTCTAAGTCCTTCAAAAACTGTCCCCTTCCTCCCACTTGGGTCCCTCACAACCACTCCCAGGTGCCCGTTCTGACTCAGTAGTTCCCAGAAAGTGCTGTTCTGGATACCCGGCTTCCTTGGGTTCTTTCCTCTCCTTACAAAGCACCCCGCCTCACCCCACCCGTTCCCCTTTTCCAGCAGCCTAAGCCTTCAAGCTTCAGCAGCTTTAATCTCCTTTGGAAAGTGTTCCCTCTCCCTCCCCTCCAGCCTTCCCATCTCTATCTCGTGCTCCTCCTCCAGGCCCCACCAACCCCGCACAAACCATAGCAATTATCATTATTATAAGGAATGCTCTGCGAGAGTATTTGGCAGAGGTGACCCCCCCAGGGTAGGAATGGTGGGATTTTATTTCAAGCACTAGGTTTACCCTAGTGAACAATGAATAAACATTTGTTGAATGAATGCATGCATGCAAAAACAGGGAGGTTGAGTCCAGTATCAAACTAGCCAAAAAAAGGAGAGGGAAATTTTTTTTCAGAGGTTTAATGGAGAAAAGTATTTGAAATAGTGGACTGGGTGGGGGTGGGCACCACAGACCCTGGGAACCATGACAACAGAGAGGGGTAAATAGCTGGGGCTTCTGGGTGGGAGGGGGTGTAAGGAACTGGTGTTCCGAGCCAAAGCTTTTAGTCTTAAGCCTGCTGGCTTCGCTCTGGAAGGAGAATGGGCACCTGCAAAGCATTAAATCAGGAATGTTTCTTTTTCTGTAGAAAATAAATCTAAATTAATGGGAAATTTAAAAATTATTATTTTTTGCTTTTAACAAAGGGGAATCCCTTCTCCAAACAAAATATACAGGGCACTGCAATACGTAATGAGGATTTAAAAGCCAAGTTTTCCTGGTCGCCAAGGAGTGGCAGGGAGGAGCGAGGATACCTCACTGAGCTGGGGTACTTTCCAAAGGAGATTAAAGCTGCTGAAGGCTTAGGCTGCTGGGGTACCTCACTGAGCAGCACAGTTTAATGCACCTCTCTCACCGCTCCCAGGTGGCAAGTGAGGCCTACTTTTCTCCTCTGCATCACAGCCTCCCTAGTTCAAGTCCACCATCTCAGTAGGACCTTGTGATGCCCTCCAAACTGGTCCCCCAGCTCTACCATGGCTGCTCTCTCCTCAACTCTCCACTGCGGAGTCAGGGTTACCTTTTTAATATGTAAATGTAAGCCTTTCAATGGGGTTTCCCATTGCCCTTGAGAGATATAGAGTTCAAGTTCCAGAATGTGGTCTACAAGGCCCTGCGGAGTCTAGGCCCTCCCCAGGCTCCTCTTCTCCCACTTCTCTCATCCACACACAGGAGACGCCTAGCCTCAGAGCCTCCCCAACCTAAGGATTTAACCCGGGTTCTTCCTCAGGCATCCTGACATACCAGGCCAGAGCAGGCTCCCTTCTTAAACACTCTCAAAACATTCACACTTTTTCTTTGCAGTATGTATTCAATCTGCATGTACTGAGGGGTCCCCCGAGTCAGGCAGGCACTGGGTGGTACTAGAGCAGAGAAAAGGAAAGGCAGGGTCCTCACCCTTTTGAGTTTATAGGCATTTGGGTGAACTCACCGGATTAAGTAATCACAGAAGGAAGTAATCCTGTGGTGCCTGGAGAGTGGATGGGTAATAACGGGAATGTGCCCGTCAGGGTGTGTGAGCTCAGAGCTTTCCTGGGGAGGGGGGGTGTTAGCTGAACGAAGTGGGCACGGGCGTGAGGAGGGTATTCCAGCATTTTCCAAGGAAGTATTGGCCTTGGAGGTTTGGATCCAGCAAATCGGTCAGCTCTCAGTAGAGACTGAATGAATGAACGAGTTGACCTCTGACCCAAAGCAGACTCAGGTAAGACTCAGGCCTCCCAATTCCCAATGCCAGGCCCCTCCTTCCCCCCCTGCTACTCCAGGGCTTGCTCGGGAGAAGGATTTGGCTAACTTGTGCTTTTCCTTTGGCTGTTTCCCAATTAGGATGGCCCCAAACATAATAAAAGTCACCCTCAACATTTCAACCTTTAAAGAAAAAAAATAATAATATAGATAAGGCACTTGGAAGAATGGCACATAAGCACTACTATATGTGTTAGCTGTTACTGAATTAAAAGTAGTGCTATCTAGGAGTTCCCAATCGGATACGAAAGGATGGGAGAGAGGGGAAAGAGTCTCAGAAAATATAGTAAGAGCTAAGAGGGAGGGGAGCGAAGAATGCCGAACCCCGCAGCCCACGCCGCATGGCCGGGTGCAGGTGCCGTGCGTGCCGTCCGCGGCCAGCTCGGCGGGTCAGCTCGGCCGCAGGGCCCTGAACCGCCGGCTAGGTGAGCGTTAGCGCTCGGGAGCTGGGCCCGGGGTTCGGAGGGCAGCGCCCACAGGCCGAGGGGCGCTCGGTTCCCTCCCTCCCTCCTGATGAAATCGGGGCGTGGAGGCCCGGGCGGAAGAGAGGGGCCCACAGTCCTGTACGGCGGGGCTCAGCCTGGCTCCAGTGGCCCGGGAGGCCTCTGCAGCCTTCACACTCCCTCGGCGCGGGGGGCGCCGGGCAGGGGCGATGCAGCTGTAGCCCAACCGGGGCGGGAAGCGACCCCGCGGGCGCGCGGGGGCTGGGAACTACGTTCCCCAGCATGCAACGGGCCGAGAGCGGCCATTCGGTCTCGACCGCGCCTCGCAGGTGCTGCTGGGAGTTTTCATTGACCTCTGAGCTCGCTCCCGTTCGGCTCGGCTCGGGTCTCCCCTAGGCCCCGCCCCTTTCGGAGAGCCGCTGACCTCGCCGAGTCCCGCGAGCCGCCCCCTTTTCCTCCTCCTAATGGTTCAGCCGAGCTGCCATTCGGGATCGAGGGGGAAGACTTGCTTACTGATTGGTGGGTTCCGTTTGGCGCCAACTAGGAAAGGGGGGCGGGGCAGCGGCGGGCCCCAAAGAGCAGCTCTTACCGCGAAAGGCCTTCTTCGCAGCGACAGCCCGGGAGGCAGGTGAAAGTCCGCTGGGTTCTCGGAGCTCCCGGGCTGGGCAAGGCGGTGAGAGGAAAGCGAGGAGCGTGTGAGGCCGGGCTGCTGCCTCTCGGCTCTGGCCGCTCTCCCTCCTCGACCCGCCGCGTTTGTTTGGATTTAATCTTCAGGTTGCCGGCGCCCGCCCGCCCGCTGGCCTCGCGGGGTGAGGGGAAGCACCGTGCGTCCGCGCCGCTTCCTCCGCGGCAGCCGCGTCCCGGAACCGCGGGGCGTGTTTGCGTTTGACCTGTGGGCAGCGGCGGAGGAAGAGGCAGCGGAGCCCTGGGAGGCCGGGCGCGGCCATGGAACTGGGCCCCGAGCCCCCGCACCGCCGCCGCCTGCTCTTCGCCTGCAGCCCCCCTCCCGCGCCGCCGCCCGTCGTGAAGGCGCTTTTCGGCGCGCCAGCCGCCGGGGGCCTGTCGCCTGTCACCAATCTGACGGTCACCATGGATCAGCTGCAGGGACTGGGGAGGTAAGGAGGAACAGACGAGGGGTTCCGCGGGCCTCTGACCTCGCACACGGCTCTCGGGGCGATCAGGCCGGGAAACGGGCCGGGAGGAGGGCCAGACTTGTCCGCCGTCCGGGGGCGGCCCAGCCAGGCGGGGGGCTCGCCATGTGCACCCTCCCCCCAGGCGGAATGTTGGGCGGGAGAGGCCGTTCCGACCCTCCAGGGCCGCCGTCAGCCCCGAGCCAGGCCCGGTAGGGGTGGGGGTGGCCCCGGCCCCCCACCTTCGCCACCCCTTTCGGATTCCCCTGCCTTGTATGCCTTGTCCCTGTCCCAGGAAGCTCTTTGGCATCCACCGCCACGGGGGAAAAGCAAGCCCTCCGAGGCGCCCACTTCCACCCTTTGCCCAACCATCTTGCAGGATCCTAGTTTCCTGTGAGCTTTGTTCCTTCTCAACAAAGGGACGTGGCATTTTCTCTTCTGGGGTTTGTGCAAAACCATCTTAATCCCTCGCTCTGTGCACATTCCTCATGTCCACCCCGATGCCTTCCTAAGGCCCGGCCTTTTTACTCAACTTTCCATACTCGAAATTCCCTGGGCTTCTCATAGCAACCACAAAAAAATGCATCCCGGAGCGTTTGTGGTGAAGCTGCTCCCCCTCCAACCTTGGACACCCCGTTTTCTAAGTAAGCACATGTCCTGTAGGTGTTCCAAACTCTGAAAAGCAGAAACTTGTCCTAGTCGGTTCTCACTCCTGCTCCTAGCACAGGACCTACATAGAACACATGCTCTCACTTCAGGAAATACTCCACCATTCATGGTGTCATCCCTTCCTTGCAGTGTGACCAGGCCATCCCTGCCCGCCCACTCCCTTCTTATCTTTTATGTCTAAGTCCTAACTGCTTGGGTGTTCTGTGGTGTGGTCTTGAGGTAATGATGATTGATGGCAGCCTGGCAACTTGCTAATAACCTCACGGCCTGTCTCCTGTAAGTGACCTTTCAGTTATGGCCTAGAAACACAGAGGGTTATTTCTCTTGGTTTCAGTGTATATGAACAGCCGCCGGAGGTGAAGAGCAGCAGTCTGCAGAGAATGGGCTCCTCAGAGTCGACCGATTCAGGTATTCTTTAGTCCTCGACTTCTATCACCTGCCTGTTGTGTGGGGGACAATACTTGGCATTTGCTGAAACATGCACTTTCATCTAGAAACTTTTTGTGGCAGTGTGGTAAGGGGGAGCCTCGGTCAGGAGCGAGGGGGTTAGTAGATACACCAGGAAAATATTAAGACTTGGGCAAATATTAAGTTTTCAGCAATCACATAGGGACTCGATTTCATTTTTGGCATAAAGTGCAGGCCATCTGTGTTGACTGGCCTAAAGGAAAACAGTACTAGGAATTTTATTTTAGTGACAAAATGGTATTTCATGTACCGTTTCCTAAGAGATGTTTTTGTTTCCCACAGGCTTCTGTCTGGATTCTCCTGGGCCCTTGGATAGCAAAGAAAAGTATGTATTCAGTGCCTTTAAATGTTTGTACTTAGAAAAAACTTTTCTTAATTTCTTGATGAAGTTCATCATGCTCTGGATTTAGTTGTCTCTAGTAAGACTCCTGGATCCTATAAACAGTCTGGTATCTTTTTTTTTTTTTAAACATATCTTTATTGATTTCAGAGAGAGGAAAGGAGGGGGAGAGAGATAGATAGAAACATCAATGATGAGAGAGTCATTGATCAGCTGCCTAGCCCACAACCCAGGCATGTGCCCTGACTGGGAATCGAACCCTGATCTCCGGGATCCTAGGTCGATGCTCAACCGCTGAGCCACGCCCAGCCAGGCAACAGTCTGGTATCTTAATGAGAACTAGTCGTCGTGTCAGCAGTTTTCAGAACCTCCCTTCCTTTGTTTTAGCTGTAATTTGGTGTTCTGTTTGAGTCTCGCCCAAACCCTTGCCCTACCCTCTGACATCATAGCCTTAAGAGAATATGTGTATTTTAAGAGAAGACCTTGGGCTTGCTTTTTTAACCTTGGAGCCCAGTGTTGGAGTACTTGTGAAAACAGGATAACTTCAGAAATCTGTTCTTCCATCTTACCTAAAATGGGAATGTTTGACAACCCCTCAAAGTATAGGCAGGACACTGTATTCTGCTGATATGCCTACCTCTGCTCTATTCTCATTATTTACCTTCTGATTTCATTGCAGCCTTGAGAATCCCATGAGGAGAATAAACCCCCTACCTGTAAGTTAGTTCCCTTGCATATTTTGAACTAGTACCTGTTATCTGCCCCTAGCTACCAGTGTAATCTTGATAGACATTAATTTAGACTATGAAGACTACTTTTCTTTAGACTCAAAAGCACTCAGATATTCCTAAAAGCATCTTCAATAACTGCCTTTTTCCACCGTCTCTAATAATGATCAGTTTTATCAAACCAGGAGGGGTTCCTTTCTATGTAAATGATATTATGAGGGGCATGATTTGGCAACCCTAAATCCCTGCTGAGAGACCTGTAGACTTTGTGGGATTAGGTGCAAAGCCATGTGGTGGGAACTTATATCCTACCTTCTAGCAAGGTGGAGCCCTGGCCACATTTACTGCAGTGTGTGAGGAATAAGGCTCCCCGCCCCCCCCATCCTTTTTTCATTTTGAGAACTGAGTTACCATTGAATTTTCACTTACGTACCTTAATTCCTTCTTTCACTTTGACAGCTGAAGCTCTTGGGGTGTAGTCCAGCTCTGAAGAGGAGCCATTCCGATTCTCTTGACCATGATGTCTTTCAGCTGATGGACCAGGATGAGAATAAGGAGAATGTGAGTGTGGCATCAGTGTGCTGGCTTAGAGCAGAAGTATGCCCCGAGGGCCAGTGGCTTACAGGCAGGTGGCTGGGCTGCTTTCTGGGAGACTAAACTTTCCCAAAGTCTTGGTGGTCTTTGGGAGAAACCTGGATTTGAGTCCTGCTGCCATTGAGCTCTGTGCCCTTGGCGAGTTACTTCTTTTAGGCTTCTTCATTTCTTTGTAAAATAGGAATATAGTTCCGTGTAGGGTTGTTGTGGGAATTAAGTGAGATAACGCAGATAAAGCATTTCAAACGATTCCTGGCAAGTAGGAATTGATCTGATGGTATCTAAGGAGTAAATATATCCATGAATAGTTGATCTGGAAGGGTCTGCCCAGGCCTTCCTTCCGTCTTTGCACCGCTGAGCCTGGGATGAGGTGTGACCTTAGAAAAAAGCTGCTTGACAGTATTTAAAAGAAGAGAGCCGGCCCGGCCCGGCCCGGTGTGGCTCAGAGGTTGAGCATGACCTAGGATCCTGGAGATCACAATTCAACTCCCAGTCAGGGCACATGCCTGGATTGCGGGCTTGATCCCCAGTCCGGGGCGTGCAGGAGGCAGCCGATCAATGATGACTCTCATCACTGATGTTTCAATTCTCTCTCTTCCTCCCTTCCTCTCTCTGAAATCAATAAAGACATATTTTAAAAGATAATAAAAAATAAAAGAATAGAGATGGTAAGACCCAGGGACTTTCAGAGTAACTGAAATGGTAGCTTAGAGGATATGTTTGTGATTGTCCATCCAAAGGTCCAGGAACACTTCATCCTGGCTTTTCTCTCTCCTGGTAGGCAATCAAAATAGTTCATTGAGTTAGCTCAGCTTTTCCAGTCTTCTTACTATATTTCTACATCTGTTTTCTCCCCTTTTCCATTCCCTGCTAAAAAGCCACAGTAAATAATCATTTACGATCTTCCAGACTTTGTATAAAACTTACCACTTCTATGAACTCTCCCAGTGATTCCTTTGGCAACTTGCAGGATGTTCTGAGAGAGCATAGAAGCGAGCTCCTGCACTGAGTTACTTGCAAGACTGTATCCGCCTCTGTGTAGTGGCTTTCTACCGAACAGTCCAAACCTGTCCCCATGCCTGGTTTGTCCGTGTCCCCCTCTCCTTCCCAACCTTGGCTCCTCCCAGGGTCACCTGCTTGGAGCTTTGTTCTAGAGGGGAAAAAGCATAGGTTAAAGAGCTCTTGGCTCTGGGGTTGTCCTGTTTGGCTGTGAAGCTAGATCTTAGGCACATGACCGCCTATAAGGCTTAGTTTCTTCATCTGTAAAATGGGGACGGTTGGGTTATAGTTGACAGTTGATGAGCTAATGCACAGAAAGTACTTCGTCTGGTGTTGGCATACAGGTACTCTGATATTAGCTGTTACTGCTCTGAGCACTCAATAACAAGTTCTTAAATGGATATTTTAGGGTAGGGGGATTATGAGTGCTTTCCAACTTGAGGTAAATGGAATCTTACAGTGACTCACTCTAACTGCTTTCATTCAGCATTTTGTGAGATTTGTCCATGTTGTAGAGTAAACCAGTTGTTTTTTCCATTGCTTTTAGTATGGAATACAATAACTTTATTCTTTTTTTAAATGTTTTTATTGATTTTTAGAGAGAGAGAAAGGAAGAGAGAAATATTGATTGCCTCCTGTTGGGGATTGAGCCCACAACCCGGGCGTGCGCCCTGATTGGGAATCGAACTAGCGAGCTCTCCATGCATGGGACGACACTCAACCAATCGAGCCACACTGGCCAGGGCTGGAATGCAATAATTTTAAGTGGGAAAAAAATGATCTCCTATTGAGAGGAAGAAGGCAAAAGACATAAAACCTTCAAACAAATGTACAGGAAAAGTTTTGGCTCCCATTCATAGACATATTGAAATGATTTTGCTTTAGGTTTTACAGAGTTGTTGATTTAGCTTATTACTCAGTGTTTTTTGTACTTGGCAGATACATGCTTGTTAGGAAATACAGTGTGGTGAGAAAAAAAATGCTGGATTAGAAGTTAGCTGTTGATAGTCTTTGAAATTCTTAGTTACACAGATCCAGTGTTGGAGTTAGATCAGAAATGTGTAAATCCTTAGCTTGGAGGCATGTACAGAGGTGATCAGTGCCCGCTCCCTTGTCTGTCTCACCTGAGTTATAGCTGAGGCCCTAGAGCTGGTTTCCATAGACCGTGGAAGATGTCTCGACTATACTGTCTTGCAGGAAGCCTTTGAGTTTAAGAAGCCAATAAGACCTGCATCTCGTGGCTGCCTGCGACTTGAGGAGGGTAAAGATCTCTTCACACAGAGGCAGAGCTCTGCCCCAGCCCGGATGGTATGTGCTCTGGCTTTTATAGGGAAGTTTCTTATGGGAAGAGAATTAAAGCACCTTTAACCTGGAATTAACAGCACTAGCTCTTGATGTCTCTACTTTGACCTTGTCTTTCCAAACTAGATGGTTACATTTTTGGTGTTTTTGCTGTGTCTGGAGAGCAGACAGGCAGAAGTGGAGTGAGAGATGGTATCTTTGAGATATTGGACTTGAGCAAAGAATATTTGACCTTGTCAGTTCTGGGAAAATAATCTGCAGGCATCCTGGGTCATTCTTCTGTGTGCGTGGTGGGATTATATGTCTTACTTAAAACTTGCTGTTTCACAATTCATCCTGAGAGTGCTAAGAGGTACTTCCCAGACTGATTTTTGGAGAGAGCACTTAGCTTCTTCCAAAGGTGCTTTATTAAGAACTATTGTAGATTTCAGGGAATTCACTGCCTCTGGGCTACTTGATAGTAATTGGGGCCATTTGCCCCAGGGTTATTTATTTGCCAGACCAAAACTATCACTACTTCCAAAGTTTTCTACTGGTGATCTGACAGCTATTGATTAGAGAGGCCCAACTTGAGCAAAATGACATTACAGGAGTATTTGGTTTCAAGGTTTTGCTGGGAACATGCATCTGAAAATACAACTCTCCAGACTGGTTTGTGGTCTAAGGTGTGGGTTCAGCCAGTATTGCTATGCCTAGCATTAGCACAGAGCACTTTTGTATGTTTTTTTTCTCTCTTCAAAATATAAGAGAAAGTTTATTTATAAAGTTACAGAGGTAGCATAAGTGAGCCAACTGGGCTGCGTAGGCTCAGGAAACAAGTTATAGAGGCAGAAGAAAGGCCCTTGGAGCTTAGGAGAGAGAAAGGGATGGGCGCAGGCAAGGAGAGCCCTGCCTGGTGTTTTTTGTTTTTTAAGCTCTACTCTTTTTTTTTTTTTTTTAATATGTTTTTATTGATTTGAGAGAGTGAGGGAGAGAGAGAAATGTCCATGTGAGAGAGAAACATCGCAGCCTCCTCCTTGCCCTGACTGGGAAATCTAACTGGGGACCTTTTGGTACACTTGGTGATGCTCAACCAACTGAGCCACAGTGGCCAGGGCCTGTGCCTGTTTTCTTACCTCTAATCTTCACAAGCCTGTGAACTAGCTGGACTTACCCATTTTACAGATCGGGAAAGTGTGGTCAAGGAGGTTAGGTGATTTGCCAAGGGACACAGATAAATAGAAGACCAGGATTTAACAAAACCTCTTGATTCCCAAGTACACAGTAACCCTTTGAGAGCTGGGTATCCAAACCAAATACGTTTAGTGTATGTATACTTGAAGCCAGCATTTCCTGTGATCCCTAATTGTAGCTACTGAGAGTATAAACTGAAAGTGCTAATCTCGCCAGTTTGGCTTTTGATCACGTCAGAGGGTATTTCTCTTATATCCTTGCTTTTAGTGTGCAAGCACCATCGATCTTTCTTCATAATGGCTTCTTGGTGTAGGAATCATGGAGAAAGAATGATCCGTCCAGAGATTTGTTTGTCATTTTTCTATAGCACATCTGCACCTGGGGATTTAAGAACCTAGGTCACAGAAACTGGTATTATTCCATAATGTGAGCATTCAGAGGGTGTTGCCTGTGATACAGTTACTGGCTCCTTTGTTCTGCTGGGTGAAAATGCCCATGTGCCCAGGCGGTACCCAGGTGCCCTTGTGGAGGATCAGAGAGAGCCCAGACTCGATTTGTGTTGAGAAGCAAAGCTTGTGCCAGAACCAGTAGGCCAGCTGCAGGGAGGATGCCTGGGGGAGTGATCTGCCCGGGGCCCCTTGAGGATCGCTGCGCTCACGCCCCAATTTGGGTCTTAAGGATATTTGTAGGACTTGCGTGGGAACCACCTTGTTACTGTGGAAGGGGGGGAGATATGTCTCTGAACTTTTTCCTTGGCAAGCATGTGGAAAAGAAATAATGAAGTGTCAGCAATGCTTGTATTAGCCACGTTATCTCTATATCAAATATATACTAGTTGAATAATGGGGCTTCCCCAAAAATCAAGATAGGGTTGCCTAATGAGATACCCCCATTTTTACTCCAGGGTCTCTCTCCTGGGGAGAGTGTAATGGGGAGGAAAGCTTGGGCTTTAGAGTCAGAACCAAGGAGCTCTGTGATCTTGGTAACCTTGCATAAGCATTGGTTTTCTGATTTGTTAATTAAAAAGAAAAGGATTGCCTTTGGTGTATTGGGAAACTTAAATGGGAATACATATAAAGATATGTCTGGCCACAAAATAACCCCTCAATTAAAAACTGAGCAGCCATCATTTAAATTCCAAGTCTAAAGAATCAGGGTTGATTTTCTAGAACCATGTCCTTCACTTCCCTCTGTGAGAACTAGGCCATCTTGTGTCTCCATAGAGACTCGTACCTTCTCGGCCTTCCTCATTTTGTCAGATTATCACGTCACAACCCTCTCGTTGATCTGCGTTCACTGATTACAGTCCTCTGATAAAACAAATCTTGTCTTTCACCAGAGGCTATCACCAGGTCCCACTGTCAAGTAAATTGCTTCTGGGAAGGGTTCTTTGTGAAGGCTACTTGACCTGACTACTTAGTACTGTGTGTGGACATCAAATCATTTATAAACTTGGGATTTATGTTCCTTTGATTAGTAGTTGCTAAAATTTTACTTCTTACCCAAATATACTATGTTTTCCTCATAAAAACTAATGACCTATCCAAGGGAATCAAAGCTAATCATTTATTAACAAGGCATGAATTCTGTCTTGTAGCTTTCCTCAAATGAAAGAGATAGCAGCGAACCAGGGAATTTCATTCCTCTTTTTATGCCCCAGTCACCTGTGACTGCCTCTTTGTCTGATGAAGATGATGGCTTCATGGACCTTCTTGATGGAGAGAATCTGAAGGTACTGTGTGTGTGTGTGTGTGTGTTTTCCTGTCCGTGCCCCTTACTACCCCTGGAGAAATCATGGAAAAGTACAGCAATTCCCCAGGGCTTGAATTAGCTGATATTTTTGTTCATTTGGGGAGGATTTGAGACTGTCCTCCTAGATTAAATCCTGTGGGGGACTTCAAAAGGAGACACTGACACACTTCTTTACCTGAAGGAGCTCACAATCTGTTTTTGGGCAAGAGGTATGAAATTGGAGAACTAGCAGCCACATGGCATAAAGCTGAAGAGACAGAGGATACCTCCTCCCATATGGATGGGGGATGCTTTTAGCTGTGTTCAGATGACTGAACTGTAAAGTATGATTCTCTTCTGACCTTAAAATGTTGGAAACTGAGGAAGAGAGAGGAATATTAGATGCTGTCTGTCGAGGCCTATCTGGTATTCTTCAGGCAGAATCACACCTAAAGCATTTAAACCAATGCCAATCTCTCCTGGATCTTCATAACACCTTTTCTCTTTCTTTAGAATGATGAAGAGACTCCGTCCTGCATGGCGAGCCTCTGGACGGCTCCCCTTGTCATGAGAAGAACTACAAACGTTGTAAGTAATTCTGGCTTGTCTGGAGGGAGCCTTGAGCAATTGGGCCTCTGAGACTGGACTAGACTAAACAGGACACTAACCCTTCTGCTCACATCACCACAGGAATTAAATTGTTTCATTTGAGATTCTGTCTTTGGGTCCATGGGCCTTGTCTGGTCACTAGTGTTTTCTCGTGTTAATGCACACTGTTTTTCAAGTTTTTCTCCCTCATTGATGTGTGAGGAAGTCTGGATAAAGTATATGCTAGCAATTCTTGTTTTTATAATTTCTAATTCATCCCAACCATTCTTGGTCAGCTAATATCCTTTCTGGACAACTCTGACCTCTATTAACTCTGGTTTAAGATCACTGGAAAATATCTGCTAAATTGAATTTAAGAAATTCTGTTAACTACATAAGATGATTGGCTTAGATTTTAATTGAAAGCTTCACGAGTGAGTTCTTTGTAGCTGACAAAAGGAACAGGACCCTAGGCAGCATGAATAGAAAGACTTCTGCTACGGGCACCATCCACACCCACTCAGCCCAGCCAGTGGTCCTGCAGTAGACACAGCCACTCTTCCTTGGGCGAGTTGACTGGAGAACCCTGTCCCAGAACAAAAAAGGTGCTAGCCTTGACCTGTTTGGATTGGGATGGAGAGAACCTGCTGGTGGATTGTCCTATGTTTTATTTTCCACAGTTGAGAGAATGTGGAAAGATTAGAGCACATTCGAAGAACCACCAGCAGGATGAGACTCAAAACCATGGTAGACACTGCAGGCTGGTTGAGAAGTTGGGACAGGGCTTCATTGGAAGAGGAGTGAGTCTTGTTCTTAATGCAGAACAACTGGTTTTGGACCACAAGACTTTAGCAGAGCTATGAGATGGCCACTGAGGACCTAGCAGGGTTCCCGTGCCTGTTTGTTTTGAGCCAGAAAGATGAGTTAAGGCTTGGAAAGCTGGAGAGCACTACACATGTATGGGAAGGGAAAGCTGGGTGGTCATCCAGGGAGGGCTGCTGTAGAAGGGGAACCAAGTAGCAGCTTGAGGTTCTTCCCAAGTGACAGTGATTGATGGCACTTTAGCATTCTAAGCTGTGGATGCAGGTACAGATATTCTGGGGATGTGGCCGTGGTTAGCCTCAAAACACAGCATCTCCCCCAGGAGCCACTGAGGAGCACACATCCACGTGGGTACTCTCAGCTCTGCCCCTCAGGGCTGCCGTTTGCAAGGTGGGGAACTGGCTGTCTTCTATCTGAGGTCTCTTGGATGGACTTCTTATCCAAGGTTTTTCTACATTTGTGCGCAAAATCTGCCAAACATTTGGAACACTGCTTTATCTCTGTTTTGTACTCAAAGGTTCTATTTTATTTTTATGTATTCCCCACATGGAGTTCAGTTGGGATTATTTTGGAGCTTAAGAATGCTAAGAGTATTGCCTGTAGGTAATTGAGGTTTTGTGTATTTTCCCAAAGGGCAATCGAGGCAAGCTGTTTGACTCCACTTCCCCATGTAGCCCGGCCATGCGGTCAGTGTTAAAAAGACCAGAACGATGTCAAGAGGACTCTCCACCTGGAAACACGAAGCGCAGGAAGAGCATGGTCTGGGCCAGTCCTAAAGAGGCAGCTAGTCCAGAGAAGCCCCAGGAGGTTAGTTTTGCAGGCTCTGTTTTGCTTGGAGAGAGCGATACTGTATTTTTCAATTCTAAAACTTGAAAATCTTTTTCAGATGATTCCAACACCTGTGTCAGGGTGTTAGCTTCTGTTGATTGTCTTTTCCTATTCAAGTTGAGATTTTTCTGGTTCTTGGTCTGACAAGTGATTTTTCAACTGCATTTGTTTATTTTGGGCATTATGAGACTCTGGTCTGTGCAAACCTTCTGTTTTAGCAGGTCTCTTGATACTGCAGGGAAGGTGGGGATGGAAGTTCAGGTTCCCCGACACAGCCTCTTTTGGCATGATAACAGGGTGGAGGTGAGCCTCATTGCTGGGCAGGAGTGGGGATTTAAGCTCCCTGCTAGGCCTCATTGGCACCATCCTAGTGGAGTAGAGATTGGGCCACTTAATTACAGCTGGACAAAGGTAGAAATCTAAGCTCCCCTCACGATTTTTCTTTGGTACTGGCTAGGGTAGAATGTTAGGTTCGCCTAAAAGTTTTGTCTCTTTTTCATAATACGTTTTTATTGATTTTTAGAGAGAGAGGAAGGGAGAGGGAGAGTGAAACATTGATTGGCTGCTTCCTGCACACCCCCTACTGGGAATATAACTGGTGATCTCTCGGTGCATGGGACGGTGCTCAACCAACTGAGCCACACCAGCCAGGGCTAAAATTCTATCTAGTCACCCAAGTTAGTGAATTGCATTGCTCATAGTTTTAGTTTTATGGTTTGTTTTCATGTTATTTTAGAATTTTCTCTAATATATCATGAACATCCCTGTAGGTCAGTACACACAGAAATGTAATTTTTTTTTTTTAATGTGTTTTTATTGATATTAGAGAGAGAAGAAGGAAAGGGAGAGAGAGAGAAACTGGGGAAGGAGCCCCCAGCCTGGGCATGTGCCCTGCCTGGGAACTGAATCCATAACCTTCTGGTGCACAGTACGATGCTCAACCAATGGAGCCACTCTGGCCGGGGCTGTAAATTAATTTTTAAAAGCTGCATAAGAGTCCTTATGGATATGCTATTTTTCTGTTGATTAACATTTAGATTGTTTACAATTTTTTTAACACTAAACAGTAGCTACGATATTCAACATTCTTGCTTGCTTATTTGGGGGCAAATAAAGGGTTGCATAGGGCAAATTCTATGTGCATTGACTATATGTGTTCTCTCATGTGTATTTCTTGACACCAGGGGGGATTGAGCATCTCTTCCTTTTTCTTTTTTAAATCCTCACCCGAGGATATTTTTCCATTGATTTTTAGAGAGAGTAGGAGGCAAGTGGGGGGAGAGAGAGAAACATTGATTGGTTGCCTCCCACATGTGCCCAGCCGGGGCTGGGGATTGAACCTGCCACCGAGGTATGTGCCCTTGACTCTTTGGTCCACAGAGCAATGCTCTAACCACTGAACAAAACTGCCATGGCTCTTCCTTTCTTTCTGACCATCAGCCATATCTTTGGATGAGTGACCTGTCTTCAAAGAGCCATGGTCCTCTGGGCATTAAGTCCTCTGCTCCTTTGCATCACTTATTCTGTTTCTTCTACTAAAGCCTTCAGAGCATTATTGTATCCCAGCTGTGATTACTCCATTTTTATCAATTTATTTATATATTTTGGCTTCATAAATTTCCTGATTTTAAAACTATTTTTGCTTCCAAAAATGTCATGTTTGTCTTACTTACTGCTTTTATTTACACGTTTTTCCTTCATTGNCTGATTTTAAAACTATTTTTGCTTCCAAAAATGTCATGTTTGTCTTACTTCTTTTATTTACACGTTTTTCCTTCATTATACTGTCCTTAATCAGATTTCAGTATTAAGCATTAGAAAATAAACTGGAAAAGTGCCTGTGTTTTCTGTAGCATGAAAAGGTTTGAATAAATATCAGTCTCCTTAAAAGGTTAGCTAGATTGCAGCCATGGAAACATCTAGGCCTGATGCCTTATATTTTATCATCTGCTTTAGATACCGAATACTTTATGAACAGTTTTCTTTTTTTAATTAAAAGTGGAATTCTAGGGTAAAGGGCAGGAATGTTTATGAAACTTTGCATTGTATACATGTCAACAAATTGCCTTTTAGAAAGCTTCTAGTTTATGTATCTACCAATATTTAAGACTATCCATTTCCTCTTACTCTTGCTATACTCTTGCTATATATTTACCTTTTTATTTTCTTAATATCGTCCCCAGTTTTCCTAAATCCTTTTCAGCTTGTTTGTTAAAATCTGGGTCCAAATGAGGGCTGTACATTGCAGTTGGTTAATCCTGCTCTGGGAGGGGATTCAGTTAGACACTAAAGTAATAGACCTAGTCAGCAACACTTTTTTCTTCACTCTAGATTCAATCAAATATGAAAAATCTCTATGTGCTAAATATAAACATTAACATTTCAGTCTCCTCCTTGCAACATGTTCCAGGTCAATGTTTTCAAAAGCCCTCTTCAGAACCCTGGCCTCACTTCCCACCTTTGGTTTGTTACAGAGTCTACACCAGCCTTTATCCCTGGTATCTTCCCCAAAAGGGACCATTGAGAATATTCTGGATAATGACCCAAGGGACCTTATAGGAGACTTCTCCAAGGTAATTGCGAGCAGATGCGGGCCTCTAGCTCTGTGATGCGGGGTGGATGGGGACTACCTAGAACCCCTCTGGGCCTTCCTCCCTCTCTGAGGTGGCTCCTGGGGTGTTCCTAAGGGGACACAGTTAGAAATTTTTAAAGGTAAGGAAATAAACTCACGATCAGATGTATCTTGGTCTCTGTGGGACTGTAGACCTTACTGGAGCTGATCATAGAGATTTTAAGTAGGAAGCCGCTCAACAGCCCTGTTAACTCCAGCCCCCAGGCCAGGTTCTCTGGGAACTGTTTCTCATTATAAAAATAGAAATGCAGAAAAGTATAAATAAGCCGAAATCTGTAGCCTCACTACAAGTCTATATTTAAAAAAAAAAAGGTTATCTTAGAATGTCCAGGATTGAAACTGAAATTCTCCATTGTCCAGAGAAGCATGGCCTTTGAGGGAACAAGCCCCAGGGAAGTCCTGAGATGGCCTGATACGGGTTTCCTCTGGAGAGGAGCTGGCCGCCTTTGAGCTGGGGTGAAATATGAGGGTGGGATAGGGAATGTGTCAGTAGCAGTTTATTTAGCCACATATAACTTGAAGGTCACCAGATTAATATTTTATTAATTTAGCTAACATTTATTGAAGCACGTATTATTATGTGTTAGGCAAAGATTCCAAAGTAGGGCCCAGTTCCTTCCCTCAAAAAACCTAACATGATCAGTAAGACCCGTTGAACCCTGTGGCTATGAGCCCCACGGACCATGTCAGTGCCATGTAAGCAGGCTAGGAGAAATTGAGGCGAGGTGTCTGAGCGAGCACATTGGGTCTGGGCTCATGATATTTCAGCCAGAGGGTGTTTTAAAGAAGCAGAGTATCTCCAATGCCTAGCACCATGCTGGGCATAGTGGGTGTTCAGTAAATGAATGAAATAAGTAGGAGTAATATGCCTTATAGGTTTGTGCAAAAATTAAATGCCCAGATATTAATGAAATGCCCAGACGAGTAACTAGCATGAACTATTAGATTTCGTTTAGTTAGTTAGTTAGTTTTTTAATATATCTCTATTGATTTCAGAGAGAGGAAAAGAGAGAGAGAGTTGAAACATCAATGGTGAGTCGTCATTGATTGGCTGCCTCCTGCGCGCCCCCAGCCTGGGGATTGAGCCTGCAACCTGGGCATGTGCCCTGACTGGGAATCGAACTGCAATATGGATCCTAGATTGATGGTCAACCGCTGAGCCATGCCTGGCCAGGCTAGATTGGTTTTTTAAATATATCTTTATTGATTTCATAGAGAAGAAAGGAGAGGAAGAGAGAGATAGAAACATCAATGATGAGAGAGAGTCATTGATCGAGCCTGCAACCCGGGCATATGCCCTGACCGGGAATCGAACCCCGATCGCCTGGATCCTAGGTCGACGCTCAACCGCTGAGCCACGCCCGGCCAGGCTAGATTGGTTTTTTAAAGCTGCCTCTTGCCAGGCAAGTAAGCAGGATAAATGTTGTATATATAGGCTTTCATATTTGCTAAGTGTCTCTCTCTTTTTTTTTAAGGGTTATCTCTTTCACACTGTTTCCGGGAAGCATCAGGATTTAAAATACATCTCTCCAGAAATTGTAAGTCATCCTTCTGGAACCTGCCTCACATGGAGTATTTGAATCTAGTAGTTTCTGGCAGCCAAAGCTGATTCTCCTGGGCTTTCTCTCCACAGATGGCATCTGTTTTGAATGGCAAGTTTGCTAACCTCATTAAAGAGTTCGTTATCATCGACTGCCGATACCCGTACGAGTACGAGGGAGGCCACATCAAGGTATGGATTCTTGAGGCTTGCTGGTGAGACCTGCTATTGTGGGAGGCATAGAAGGAACCCTAGACAACATCTGTGACTTTTTAAAAGGGGGGTGGTGGCACCTGGATGCTTATTAGCTCACATGCCAGTTATGAGAATTAAGAAATGGGAAAGGCATTTGGTTCCTGGTATACTGACAGAATGTTCCCTGGTCCACACTACTCTCTACCACAGCAGCAAGGAAGGGTATTTCTAGGTGCTATCCACTTCCACTGATTTCTAAGCCAGGCCTGAAGACCCTGGGCTCTCTGGCAACATTGTTGTCTGGTGGGAAGGGGTGTTGGGACATACTTTCCCAGGAAGAAAGTAACTACTTGTGCATTTTAATCTTTTATTCAACAAAAGTGTTGAAATATGGTAAGGAGGTACTTTAAATACACTGTTAGTGTTTGCAACTATATTAATGACTTTTGAAAGTCCCCAAATTCACAAATAGCACTCAAAAAGTATGCATAGTCATAACAGAATTTGAGGTACCCATTTAAAGATCCTTCTTATGGAATCATTACTGCAAGTGGGAGGCATGGGTGCCAAGAGTCTGTGGTGCCTTCACAGGGCGCAGTGAACTTGCACATGGAAGAAGAGGTTGAAGACTTCTTACTCAAGAAGCCCATCGTTCCTACCGACGGCAAGCGCGTCATCGTGGTATTCCACTGCGAGTTTTCTTCTGAGCGAGGCCCTCGCATGTGAGTGCTGCCCAGAACTGGTGCTCTGGGGGATGTGGTGGCGTGTGGCTCGCCCTAGGAGCATCCTGTTGCAGAACAGGGGCCATTTCCATGCCTTAGCCTGCACTGTGGCATGTGAATGCACGGCTTTGTGAAAGCATAAATTCACATGTAGCAGATTCTGAAATTCTTCTCTGCTTAGCAGTCGCTTGATGTCATGAACAGCTTCCTTGAGTGGCGTTAACAGGCTTGACCTAACAGGTTCAGTCGCAAAGGGCTTGTGGGCTTCTCTGGTCCAGCCTGTCTTTGATGCTAGTGTTGCCCATGCAGTTTCCCCTGGAGGTCTGGCATCTGCGTCATCACCCCACTCCCAAGTTAGTCCTTGCCACTGTTGGGTGTGGCTCCCTGTTTAAGCTTCTTTTATATGGAGTTCAATTCTGGCCCTTCGTGTTTCCCCAACTGTCCTTAGTTCTACCTGTGGGGCTACTGTTCCCAGGTGACATCCTTCAAGTACAATGTGGCTCTTTATGCAAAGGCCAGAAAAGTATGTAGTCCTCCCTGTGAAACTTGATGTGATGCTTTCCTATTATTACCCAAAGATATGTTTTATGCTAAAATAGGTGAAAGTGTAATTACAATAAAGCAACATTCACTTAAGATTTAAAGTAATATTCTGATGCTCTAACAGCATCCTCCACGTCTTACTAATGGTAACAGGACTGGTGCTGAAAAAATGGTCAGAAGTGAATGATATTTAAAAGCTAAGGGAGGGGCCAGGCAGCTGCCCAGCCATCATCCAGGTCCTTTCAGAAGGGACTGCAAGCCTGGGGTGTGTCAGGTACTACTGAGGCAGTGAAGGAACAGCAGTGAGCAGGTCTGATGGGGACCTGCTGCAAGGGGGCCGCAGTGGCTGAAGGGGAGAGGGCAGGGGGTGGGAGTGAGGAGGTGGAGGCCACTGTAAGGACTTCGGCGTTTGTATCAGGGTTGGGCAGAGGTCACCAGTCAGGTGAGGACATCAGGGAAGAATAGTTCATTAGTCCAGGCGTAGGATGGAGGTAGGTGCATTGAGGGCAGAGCAGGCTTGGCCTGTGGTGGAGAAGCCACAAGAAGAAAGAGGCCCCTTAGGTAGGTGAGAGGGAGACACGGGGGACAGGTGGAGAGTGAGTGGGAAGCTGGCTCAAGACTCCCCGCAGGTGAGGTGCACGTGCTGGCAGGGAGGGTGCCAGGCGGGTCAGGTGCTGGGGCTCTTTAACTCAGAGAAAGGAAATTGGGGGAAGAGACCGTCTACCTTCCAATGCAAGGCAGTGACACTGGCTGTGACACTGTTTCTAAAGATCACACATGGCTAGGAACTCCCAGCTCGGCACTGATTGGAAGTGCTTCGGCCCCCAGCACTGCCGGGCTACGCAGCGGGCTTCCTGTTCCCTGCGCCAGAAGTGCCAACTTGCTTCCCTTCCCCCTCTGCAGGTGCCGCTACGTGAGAGAGAGGGACCGGCTCGGTAACGAGTACCCCAAACTCCACTACCCGGAGCTGTATGTCCTGAAGGGCGGATACAAGGAATTTTTTCTGAAGTGCCAGGTGAGATGGACTCTGGAGAGCATGGTCCACCCCTTGCTCGGGTTGGACAGTTGGACGTGTCTGATGGTCATGGCTGTTTTTTGTCAGGTGTCTGGGGATTTGCCCGGCACAAGAGGGGCCTTAGAACCCACTGACCAGATCTGCACTGATGCTGAGTCTCACAGCCCCGGGGGGCGGGGAGCAGGATTAGGAGTGAGACAGTTGTACCCTGACCTCACCCGCTCTTGTCCCCCAGTCTCACTGTGAGCCCCCCAGCTACCGGCCCATGCACCATGAGGACTTTAAAGAAGACCTGAAGAAGTTTCGCACCAAGAGCCGGACCTGGGCAGGGGAAAAGAGCAAGAGGGAGATGTATAGCCGCCTGAAGAAGCTCTGAGGCCGGCAGGGCGGACAGCAGCAGCCTGAGCCTCTTCCACCCCCTCCCCTCTTTGCTGCAGAGAAACTTGAGCAAAGGAGCCAGCTGTGTGACATTTGGAGAGGCCCTGGGGCTTCCTGCCTTAAAACTTACCTGCCACACTCCTAAGACTGGAGCCCAGAGCATCCTGCTGGCTACGCCTTTTCCATCCCTGCGTCAGGACTTTCTCCCAAGGCTGTCACGTGCCCAGTTTCAAGCACCAGGTCAAGACAAGTTCTGTCTCTTCATCCCCACAGCTGAAGGAACCACCTGGGGCATTACTGGGCACTGTCCCCTCACGAGGGGAGGGGTAGGAGAGTGGAGAGAAGTAAGGCACGGAAATGCTGCTGGCAAATACCAAAGACAGCCTGGGAAGGAAATGGTCTTTGTGGGATAACCCATATCTTTAATTTATTCAACCTCATCAATCACTTTATTATTTTTATTTTTTAACTCCTGGAGACTTTTATTTAACTGCTTCTATAAGTCACAATACTGCCATTTTATCATCCCAAGGACTACCTCTGCTTTTAATTAAGAAGAAAAAAAAGGCGGGAAGAAGAGGTAAACATGCTTGTGGGAGCTCTGTCACCCCCAGGAGGCGCTGCAGTACTGGGGCTGCTGCTATTAAAGCCAAAGACTGAGATGCTGGTGGGAGCAGGCACTGGACTCAGCCTTGGCTACAGGGCATAAGCTAAACCTCCCGGACCTACCGAAGGCCACTGAGATTTATTTGGGGGAGTGACCCTGCTCTTGCCCCGGTTCCCTGTGATGTTGGCTGGTATAGGAGTCAATCAGGAAAGCACTTCAGGCAGCTTCCATTGGGCCACCCCAGGTCAGTGTTGGAACGTGGTGTAGTGTAGGTATCCCCAAAGTAAGAGGGACAGGGATGGGTGGGCTCTGGGATGGGGCGGGGAGTATACACTGAGTGTGCTCCTTCTGATACTCTGATAGCTTTTAATTTTCTAAAAATAGTCATGAGTCAAGGAGTATCAAATCAGTGTTAGCTGGCCCACCCGGGGGTGGGGAGGGCTGAAAGCCCTGAGCATTAAGAGAAGGGAGTGGATGCTGGCGTAGCGATGACTATAGAATGTTTCTCAGGCAGCGTGGTGGGTTTTGAAGGTAAAACTCTCTGAGTTTATCATGTTTTAATTTGAGGAGCAGGGAGTGATGGATCATCACCAGTCGCTTCCTCATCTAACCCCATGAAATAGGGGTCTCAAAGGAACACCTCCCATCCAGGGAGCTGGGGCTGACTTGACTGATTCTGGACAGGCCTGTTTGACTCCTGCTCATCCCCACGCTCAGACGCCAGCCCCTCACCATCTCTGCTCCCTTGGGGTGTAGCCAGGTTTGTCTTATATACAAGAGTCGGTCCCCCTCTTGCCTCGGCTTCCTTTTTTGAGGATGGGGAGGAAACCAGTAATACTGGAGATGACTGGTTGCCGTGTTAATGGGTTTGAGTTGCATTTGGCTATAAAAGAATCTTGTTAGAAAAAAATATGTGGGGAAGAGGAGGGGAGAGGGAGAAGACCTCCTTCCCCACACGTTGAGACATCTCAATTGGTCTCCAATCTTGTTTGTAGGGATTCTGTTGGTTGAATGCCTGAAAAGGGAGGTGGAATGGCCTTCAGATTGTACCAACTTGGCTAGCACTGCTAACCAACTGTTGCAGGCTCTGAAAATAAAACCAATCTTGAACCCATGCTCCCTGCCTAATTTTTTTTACTGCCTAATTCTTGATTCAAAAGGAATTACGTTTCCCTTTAAGGTTCTGGGACAGCCCTTGACTAAAACCAGTGGCTGGAGCACTCATGTTCCTCAAGAGGCCAAAGGGCTCTCATGTGGCCTTCAGAGACGGCCGGAATGACCTCCAGTTATACTGAGTCCAAAAACAGATTCAGATTGCTTTGCATGATGAAATAGGGACAGCAAACGCTTTCCTGAACCACAGACATTCCCTTACAGAATCTTAATTCCTGTGGATTAAGCAACAGGCCAAAGGATACAGAAGTTTTGACTGTTCTGAAAGGGCCAGAGAGGATACTACAGAATGAAACAGGACAGATGTTGGTAAGCCATGGGCCCCCATGTCATGCTGGAGTGACCGCCAAAATGGATGAATTCTGGAGCAAAAATCTTACAAAACCAAGATGCCTAGGATAGGAAAGAACTTGTGTTCTATATATTTTTAAATTTTACATAAATGTAGCAAATGGTAAAATCTAAACTTTCGCCCATGGACCCACCTTAAGTCAAGCTTAATTTAGACACTGTTCCCTTCTGATTTGCATCTATAATAGAAGCATTCTTCCAGCTTTTAAAAAAAAGTACAAGATGCCTGGCCGGGCATGGCTCAGTGGTTCAGACTGACCTAGGATCCAGGAGATTGCAGTTCGATTCCCAGTCAGGGCACATGCCCGGGTTGTGGGCTCGATCCCCAGTTGGGGGCATGCAGGAGGCGGCCGATCAATGACTCATCATTGACGTTTCTATGTCTCCCTCTCCCTTCCTCTCTCTGAAATCAATAAAGATAATAAAAAAATAAAAAAATACAAGATAATGTAAGGAAAGGAAGTCCCTTGTAATAGCAACCAATCTGCAGTGAGTATTATGTTAATAAGTTTCTGTTATAAAGGCTTGGAGGAGAGAAGAAGCCCACAGAGTGACAAAGCACTCTAGCTGTCCCTCACCCAGCATTCCATCCTCTCCTGGATGGCTTTTTAACCCTTCCAAAGAGACATTGCGTGCCTAAGCATCCCCACTGTACTCCAGTCAACTCTTGTCACACTATTATTTATTTATTATTTTTTAATGCCCTTGACTGGGAATGGAACCCAGGACCCTTTGTTCTGTAGGCCTTTGCTCTACCCGCTGAGCCAAACCAGCCAGGGCTTGTCACACTATTATTGAAATTGCATAGAGACAGTGTATAGGGATGCCTTTCACCTGCACATACCATATGGCTGTCCTGGCCAGGTAGCTCATTTAGTTAGAGGATCGCCCTGATATGCCAAGGTTGTGGGTTTGATCCCCAGTCAGGGCACATACAAGACTCAACCAATTAATGCATAAATAAGTGGGACAACAAATCAATGTTTCTCTCCCTTTCTAAAATCAATAAATAGCCCTAGCCGATTTGGCTCAGTGGTTAGAGGGTCAGCCCGTGGACTGAAAGGTCTCTGGTTCAATTCTGGCCAAGGGCACATAGCTTGGTTGCAGGCTCAATCCCTAGCCCTGGTCAGGGTACATGCCTGGGAAGCAACCAGTCAATGTGTTTCTCACATTGATGTTTCCCTCTCTCTCTCTTCCCCTCTCTCTGAAAAGCAATGGAAAAAATATCCTTGGGTGAGAATTAAAAAGAAAATTAAAAATCAATAAATAAAACAATTTTCAAAATAGCTTTAGGAAAAATCCCATATGGTTGTACTCTAACCTATCCCATATTAGTGAAGATAATCTAACCTTCCCAAAGATAAGATTCCGTATTCCTAATGAGAAGATTTAAAAGTTGATTAATTTGACCACGTAAGCTCGTTTTTATGGTGGAAATAGCCAAATATCTACTTATAATTAACATGTACATATTTAAAAGCACATATAAAATGTTAATTTAGACATGCCACTTTTTCTCAATCTTTCAAAATAAAATCTTGATCTATTTCTGCACCATGTACTAGTTTCCATGAACTCACCTTTTATTCAGGATACTTAATATGACAGTTCCTTTATGAAAAACTGCCAAGACCAAGTATTCATTCTCGTAATTAGGATTTTTTAATTTGTCGTGTAAGTATATTTATGATTTCTACAAGATCCCTACTTTTTTTGTAATCATGGAGAACTTCAAACATACTGTGGATGGAAAGCGGTGCTGTGATCATAAATTCCTAAGTGGGCAGGTCATGGTGGGTAGTCACGCCCCAGGCCTGTAACTTCTTTAGTGAAAGGCTTTAAGCCAGCCCTGTCCATTGTTCTTGCACATCTAGGTTAACACACCTTTGAAGTGGTAGAAGTAATACCCCTACCTCAGGCATAACCACATAACCTTAACCTGTAATCCAGTGATTTTCAATCTTTTTCATCTCATGGCACACATACTCTAATTACTGAAATTCTGAGGCACACCAAAATCTTTTTTGCTGATCTGACCAAAAAAATAGGTCTAATTTTGATTCAGTCACACTGGACGGCTATTGTGTTGGCTGTTGTCATTTTTTAATTTGACAACCTAAGGGAAAAGAGGTCAGTGCCCCTGACTAAATAGTCGGGTATTGCGTGTTTTAAAAATTCCTATGGCTCACCAGTTGAAAGTCCTGCTGTAACCCGGTCCCCGCCTGGCCTCCTCCCCCTCCGGTCATCTTCCCCAGTTCCCTCCTTGGTCGCAAATGCATTAAAGAGGCTGCAGAACTCATTCCCGGGGCACTGAGCGCTTGCTCTTTGGCAGGTCATCAGTTTGGCTCCACCACTCCTGTAAAAATTCTCTACGTGTTTGGATGTTTCTTCCGTCAACATCGTACTGGACAAAGAGAGGCTGAGGAACTGGTCTGGATTAAAGGAGACTGGACACATGACAACTGGATGAAATATGGGATCCTGGACCAAGACCAACAACGACAAAAATGCTGTCAAAAGACATTTTGTCTCCACGTTAAATTTTCTGAATTTGATAATTATATAAAGAGAATAAAAATATCCGTATTCTCTGGAAATGCACTGAAGTTAAGGTTAAGACTATAAAGTAACATACTTCCAAATGGTTTACAAATTTTTAAAAAGGGGTGTATATGTGTGTGTGAGAGAGACAGAGGAGAAAGCAAATGGAGTGAACGTTAAAAATTAATGACTTGGTAAAGGGTACAAGGGAGTCCTTTGTACTATTCTTGCACATTCCTGTAAGTATGAAATTATTTAAAAAGAAAACATGTTAAGAGGAGGATACTGCAGTGCCGAGCTCCTGCGCAGATGGGGCGGGTGGATGCCCCGGTGCCTGGATGGTCAGGGGTGGCCTTGAGGGGCGCCCCGAGAAACACCCGGGCGGCTGACAGCAACTTGTTCCAAGCGTCCCAACGGCAGTTAAAGGGCCACTGGTGGGAGAGAGAGATCCTGG